ATTTATTCTGACACAGTTTAACTCTGAGTTCTTGTCATATTTTATTACCATTTTCTAAGCTATAGCGAATAAACTGTGATAATGTGTGCAATGTTGAAGGTTATATATATATATATATATATACTGTATATATAGTAGTCAACATTTGAAGTGGATCAAAAAAGATAATCAAATTTGTTCTAAGACAAGAACGCATTTTGGTTTTTAGGACAACTATGATGAAAGGTTTAGATCAACTTCAAATGTTGACTAGTGTAAATAAAATAAAATAAAATAAAATTGAATTTAAAGATAAAATAAAATAAAATAAAAAATGTAATAAAATTAAATAAAAATCCATAACCCTAACCATTAAAAAGGATATTGTTTCCTGTACTCGCCCTTAACTTAACCCTGGAACCCTGACAGGAACCCTGTCTAACAGTAACATTGATCCAGCAACATCAAACAAGGTAAGCCTTGTACATACCTGTTCACGTGCGCTTCTCTCTGCGGTGCCCCTCATGCTGCCATGCGAGGGGGATGGAGAGGGTGGTAGGGAGTGCTGGGGAGGGTACTTGTTCTTCAGGTGGTCCATGAAGGCATCCCGCTTGCGTTCCATGTCGGCCTTGTGCAGGTTGGAGAGGGCCTCCAGGCTCTGGGCGGCGATGACCGTGTGCCGGTGCTCAGAGGTGTGGACCAGCCCCACATTGGAGAAGCGCCGCCCGCTGTTTCCCAGCGTGCGATATTCACGTGGGTACTCCAGGTCATCGGTGGAGATCATGTGACCTCCGCCACGCTCCGGGTCTGGTTTGAGAGAGAGATGAAAGGGAGCGAGGAGGAATTGAGGAACGTGAAGAGTGTGGCACCAGCATCCATTCCGTCATGCACGACCACACACATACATGCAACAGCACAAACGCATTCACAGACAGACGGGAGAATGGGGTGAAGGGGAGGAAGAGAAAAAAATGGGATGAGATGTTAGACTTATTACAACAGAAAGGAGCACAAGAGTGAGTGGCTGCTCCCTGCAGAGTTATTGATCTCAGGTTTAGTCGAAAAGAGGGAACTAAGGAAAAGTAAAAGCACTGAGCTATAGATCAGAATAAAGAATGGAGCCAAAATTTCTCTGTAGGAGATTACATTTTGCTTTGCCTGTCAATTCGCCTTTGTCATCTGATATGGCATTTCTTACTTTCTGAGCATACATACTGCATCACTCACCCCAAGTGCATGCTCCACCGCATGCAAATTCACATATACACACATGAAAATATGTTTATACAAGCTGGGAGAGAAAAGCATTTGAAACATTGACTACAGAGGTCAGGGGCATCATGTACAATTTTTTTGAGGGGGCACCAGTGGCAGTTCAGGCTCATTTTATGCCCTAGACGAGATAAGTGCTTTTAAGCACTTTTCAACAACTTAAAGAAATAGTTCACCCAAAAATGAAAATTCTGTCATCAGTAATTCACCCTCATACCATTTAACGCATCAAAAATTAAGGCTGCAGAATGTGACAAAAGCAGTATGTCAGAATTCACAGGACTCATAAAAGAGTAGGCAAAAAGTACCCAGATGATCTACTTCAGACTAGATTCTGAAGTGCACATCCAATTATTATCTCACGAGGCCACAGGAGAGGATTTCTGAATGCCAGTGAAGTGACGCAACTGACGCTGGTAAATCACATGACAATGACAACATGGTGAAAGTAGCACGCCCAGATTACATTCAAGCTACACACATTTTACTATATAAAACATACTTTTTAGCAGTCCCAAAGTAATTTCTTATTCAAAATAATTACCTAATCAAGAGATTATGCCATTTCAGATGCAGGGTAAGTTATTATAAAGTGTCAAATAATCACATTTGAGCTTCCATGTTTACCATGTTTGATGTGCTCTATGTATGTGTTAATGTTTATATGTGAAATTAAATCTGTTCATCGCATAAAGCAATCATGCCTCTTCAGGAGACTTGGATTATATGCTCGATTTATATGGATTGATTTTACAACTTTTTTTGTACTTCTAGATGTGTTAAGGTTTTGGTTGCATGGACTTTCAATGGATGGACAAAAAGGATGAGTGAATATCTTCATTAGTGTTCCAAAAATAAACAAAATTCTATTAATGTGTTTGGAAGGACATGAAAGTGAATAAATGATGACAGATATTTTATTTAATAATTTAGATAAGAAGAGTTAAAGGGATAGTTCACCTTCAGTTGCTGGTCCCCATAGGGGGAGCGTGTGTAAGGCTGGGCCACGGGGTCTTGGGGCAAAAATGCCACTAAATTGGACAAAAATGCGCCTGCACAAACAAATTAAATCTATTACGTCTGTTGCTAACAAAGTGCAAATGAATAGAAAGTGTCGACTGCGAATTAAATGAAGATCTGCTCATGTTGCACCGTATTTCCTTTTAGGCGTTTTTACAGTGTTGCGCATTATAACCAATCAAACACAATTCTGTTGCGCTTAGGAATGCAATGGCCAATCAAAGGCGTTCAGATGAGTCATCGCTGAAACTCATCAGCTTTGTTGAATGCGCGCACGTTCGATGACTGAATTCCGTGAATTCTCTCATCATAAACAACAAAGCGCAGATGTACGTACAATGTAAGTAAGGGATTAATTTCGCAGTGTAGACAGCTTCGGTGATTATAACGATAGTTTTGTTTTTTTGAGAGTGCGATAGATTAAAGTTAGTGATTATGTCATTTCTGTACATATTTTATTCGCCGTTTGAATAACCGTGGGAAGGAAACGTTATATAATTATCAATTTCTAATGTTTTAATTAAATTGTAATCACACTAAATACAAATTCAGTCCCATTGATTAAACATATTTTATTAGCCTACATGACACCCATTTCTGGTTCTTGCCTAAAAAGACAGGTTTATGATGTTTGTAGTTAATAGATTTGGCTGCTTTTAGCCTTACCCTGGAGTTGGTTCACCCTCCGCCTATGCTGGTCCCCATTGACTTGCATAGTGTTTTTTTCCATACTACGGAAATCAATCGGGACCAGCAAATTAAAGTGAACTATCCGTTTAAAAGCATGGGGAAAAAACATACAGGTGAGGAAAATCTGTTTAAAAAATGGTGATTCTATAATATAGTAAAACATATGTTACCTACAATTTTATTAATTTATCATATTCCACAGATACTTGCAAATTGCAGTTACAGCATCTACCAGCAGGGGCAAACTGAACCATGCTAACCAGCCAAGCCTTGACACCTTGGTTTACTGTTCTGGCCCCCTCAGTTTAAAAGTGCATGACACAAATATGTTTACGTATTCCCAAACCACCTCCTGAGGACAAGAGGTGCAATCTAATGCACGTGTAGCTTCACTACCCCCTCTCTCTCGCTCATAAAGACAGGCGGCTCACGCACATGGCACGCAGACAACACAGGGCCAGGCAGTATGCAGAGACAAGACATTGACATACATCTGACAAAATCAGTGAAACAAAATGACAAGCCAGTCAGAGGCTCTGATTGGCCAGAGGCAGGTCGACATGAGAGGATATGGGAGTAGCTGGGTGTGGTTACCTTGCTTCGGAAAGCAGGCCCCAACACTGGCTGAAGAAAAAAACAAAAACATCAACCACAGTTAAGCTCCTCATTCTCTCTATCTTTCATTCTCTCTTTCATTCCCTTTATCTCTCTTTCATATACACGCACACTAATTGTCTTTGGTGCTGTTGGAAGAATTGATTCCCAAATCATCTCTCTCTTTTGTATATTATGCAAAAGGAATAGGAACATTGTTCAGTCAATAATACAAAAAATTAAATCCTATACGAGGAGCGAATTCTCTGACTGCTGTTCACGAAATATAGAAAGGCGCTTCTCACATTGCTGGTGTTGGTTTTTTTGTGTAAACAGAAGCTTTCGGTAAACATCCTCAATAAGAAAGGGGTTCCAACCGAAAACCTTCCCGAGCACCTTCTGTCAAGAATTTATGAGTCTCACTGTCAGCTTCCTTAAAGCCTCTGAACAAACAAATACAAACACCCACACAATCACTACATTAAACTTTAAGTTTAACAACCATTCCCCTTTCTAGCTACTGCTCTTTACTTATTTAATTAAGTCTCTTATGCTCACTAAGGCTGCATTTATTTGATCAAAAATACAGCGAAACAGCTGTATTGTGAAATTTTATCACAATTTAAAATAACTTTTCTATTTTGATATATTTTTAAATATAATTTTTTGTAACACTTTACTTAAAGCCTTTATGTATAATGTATTATAAAGGGTTATTAAAGGGTATAATTCATTACAATTATTCATAATGTGCACATTATTTCATGTTGTAAATAATTATAAGTGAATTAAAAATACATAGTGTAACAATGAATTGATAAGTGTTGTATTAACTGTGGTTACAATTATTCATGAGATTGTACAATGCATTATAATGTGCATTACAAGGCATAATTAATGCATTCAAACTAATTCTATTGTGCATTATACAATAAGGCTTTATTAATAATCTTCAGTATCACATGATCTTTCAGAAATCCTATTTAATTTTTGTCTATGTCGAAAAGAGTTTGTGCTACTTAATAGTTTTGAGGAAACCATGATAAAAATTTTGTTTCATAATTTTACAAGAACAGCATTTATTTGAAATATAAATCTTTTGTAACATTATTTTTACTGACCAAATCTTTGAGCTGTAGTGTAAATATCTGCCACTAGTAGCAAATAGTGCAGTAATGTGGCAACAACAAATTATTCACAAATTTGCTAAATTAAAGTGTGATTATTCACATTCTTTTAATTTTGTGGATGTAAATTAGGTGAGAAATGTTTGAGAGCCTGTCATAAGAAGTATGAACTGTCGTGATGAACTGGCACTTAATATATTATAATAATATCTATTCTATTCTATTCTGTTCTGTTCTGTTCTGTTCTGTTTAAATATGTGGCATTTTACACTTGAGAAAACAGAATGAAGACCTAAAGTCATTCTCTCTGTGAGGAACAGCATATCATGTACTTCTAGCTCTCAGTGGGATTTGAATCACTCTTTTCACTGACTCAACTGTCACCATGGTCTCCCTATTGCCCCTTCACCCCCTTCCAGGAAGCTTGGGGCTAAAAACACCATCACCATCCAAGGAATTATTCACATATTATTTAAAGCATTGAATCGGAAAGCAGCTGGTGTTTTATTAAGCAGAGCTGGTGCTTTAAACAAACATCAGGGTTGTTCTGAGAAACAGACAGCAGTGGTGCTTCTGAGGAACAGCTAAATTGAATGACCTTGTGGTTAATGTTGTTAGCACTGAATACTTTAATAGCACTCATACTCTCCTGAGAAGGAGCATTATCTTTCAGAGAGCAGCCTGTTGAAGGACAGACGGAACTGATACCGACTTACCATGATACTTGCTCTAGGGAGTTTGAACCACTAATACACCCTGACAATGTGACTAAACTGTGTTAGCTTTAGCTGTAAGAGCTTTGAATGGAAGCAAGAAGGACATGTTCAATTCACTTAAACGGCTGAATAATTGAGTGATATCACTGTGTTAAAGTTGTTTTGTTCAGAGAACAACTACATATTGGTGACTGCACTTATAAAACTCGGCCTATGGTAATTTCATGGTCTTAGCTATTATTATGTTTATAGTACATTGTGAGATCTTATTAATTTGAATACATTTTAAAATGAAATGTATTCCTGTGATGGCAAAGCTGAATTTTCAGCATCATTACTCCAGGCTTCAGTGTCACATGATCCTTCAGAAATTATTTTAATATGCCGATTTGCTGCTCAAGAAACATTTATTAGTATCAGTGTTTACAGTTCAAGTTAAATATTATCCTTGTGCGCTCTTCATTTGGGAGTCACACTCATGGTCTTCGCGGTCAAAAGTGACCAGACACCTGAAATGTAACTTTTTTTTTCTTCGGTAAAATCAATCTAATATATTTTTGTTCAATAATATTTTTTTTTTTTTGAGAGAGAATTTTATGGTAATAATGAATATTTATGCAATAATTATTATCAATTTTTCCTATTGAAAATCGTAAAAAAAATACAATTCTCAAATTGTTTTAAAATAATTTTTCAATCAATGCAGTATCTCTGATTCAAATAGGGACTAGGCCTTTAAAATCCTTTTTTTTTAAGGCAGATTAGCACCTCCTGGTGAGAGCAAAGAAAGAAAAACATGAAATGTCATGCTGTAACCACTAGATGCCTGTATAGGAATCCATAGAGAGGCTTTTGAATTCCCTAGTTGTTTTTATACATAATTGTTTACTTTTATTAGGTTGTGGATTTAAATGTATATTAAGGCATTCTCAAAGACTACTTTTTGTCAATGTTTATATTTTTTTATCTCCTGAATTTCTCAGAAAGAGATGAAACCACTGCTAAAATAAGATCACATAAGCTGAGTTTATTGATACAACACAGACTATAAGAGACACTTCTCCTATCTGTTGCTTTTTCATTCTTGTTTATCCTTTGCATTTGTAATACATTACATAAATCCTACAAAGTTATACAAAGACATATTTTACTTAAATACACACACTTACACATGTGCACAGAATCCTCCATTATGCTCATTATGCAGCAAACACACAAAGCCAGTATTAAACATCGGAGGCTGTTGTTTAACATCAGTGTTTTAGTGCACACACTAAAACAGCAACAGCCTGTTTTACAATGGCCTCTAGTGTTTGGCTGCTCAACAACAACACTGGCTTTTCACCAAGGACCTTTTTAAGGGTGGAATATGTCATTTCTGTGCCACTAGTGTCACCCAAGTTGTCAAGGTTTTGCTGGTTAGGCCCTCCTGGCAGATGTAGTTACTACACACTTTGTAGGCCAAACACATATTTCTCCATTGAGCCATTCAAAATTAACCATGCATCCCAATAACTCTTTTGGGTTTTAAACCCTTTGACCTACCATGAGAGCAAATATTCAAATAATTAAACAATACATTTGTATGTTCACAGTTGGCTAACGGTCACATGAGATGCAATCAAATATTTATTTTGTGTGTGTGTATGTTTTATCTTGATTTAATGTAAATTATTCTAAATGATTTATTATAATTAATTATTGGCTTTTCATGAAAACACAAACCCCCAGGGGTTCGCAAAGCCCAACCAAATAAGACTTAAAGGTGCAATAGGTAATTGTCTTCAGGAACATTTTTTGTTATGCTGGTTGAAAGTCTCTTCACATCCCGATAGCAATCATTAAGTTAAGTGGTCTAAATGTATTTATCTGTATTATATTCTGTGGACGGCGTAGGACCAAGAAATGTTTGTCCAATCAAAACACTCGGTCCGAGCATTTTAATTGGCTTTCCTACCTGCCTGTCAACGTATGTATTAGCATATCTCTGCGCACCGGGTTCACGCAGACAGGATACGTCATCAGCACATTCACGCATACTGTGCAGACAGAGCGAGAATGGCAGACAAACATCAACAACCCGATCTTCCTTCCTGGTATTGTAGCACTTTTAAAGTTTTCTCAACGGTGAATGACACATGATGTAACCCAGCGGTTCCCAATTCCTGTACTCGGATGTACTTCAGAACATAGGCTGGAATTGGGAACCGCTGATGTGGCCTATTGTAGTAATGTTGTCTCTGGTATTCTGGTCTGTGAGCGAGCGTATATGCGTTCAGGGGGCGTGGTTTTGGACGGAGATTGCAGGGAGGGTGGGACGTTCGCTTTCAGTGCTATCAAGTTAGCATTTTCCAAGATCTCCTACTCCACCTTTAAACTGTCTTATTTGACAAAATGGAAAAATTAATCTCATAAATTCCCTTTTCGATTTAGCCATCACATCCAGAAAGTACAGTAAGAACTAATTGAATTAAACTAATTAATTCCTTTGGTATTGTAAACACTGCACATTTCACATTCAAAACATTGCAATTATTTTAAAAAGCCAAAGGCATATTCTAAATGGAGCCCTATCAAATATAATGACTTATTGAGGGTGAATTAGTCTGGTGGATATACAGTAGAGGGAATAGCTGAAACACACACACAAAAAAAAGCAAAAAAATCAGTTAATTCCAGGAGATATGTAAAATCCATCCAGTGGGAGGAGGTGCCATCGGTCAGATGTTGTTAAACAAAACTAAACAACTGCAACTGTTCAATCACTCCTCTCTCTTTCTGTGGTTCCAGACAGAGCAAAGAGACCTTTCCTCACTGTTGTATAATTGCTATTACCGCCTAGGGGCCATCAAACTGATTGAGAAACAACTCTTTCTCTAACAAGTCCATTATGGATGAGTCACACAATCAGAAACACATTCACAGACATACACGGACTAAGAAAAGCAAACAAAAGTAGCAGCGCATGGCTGCCTCTCTATCTGTTGCATGCGGTGTCCTATGTCCCCGTCTTCAACATCAGATATTTGAGAAATGTTCATTATTTAGCTCTGCCCTGGAAGATTTGATTAGACTCAAACAGTGAGATTGCGAATCAATCTGGTTTCGCCCTTAATGTTCACAATACCGTTATACAAACACTCACTCACGCACTATGGTTAGTGGATTACCAGCTTGTTTGTTTCCCCTGGTGTTAATAGCAGGCTTTTTAA